CGACCCGAATCCGAAATAGACATTGGGCGGAATGTCTCAGTGCCGCTTGCTCTGTCTGATCCAACCAATATTCACACACTCCAACGATCCGGGCCGACCCGAATCCAAAATGGTTTTGGGCAGGATGATTCGACCTCCATGTGCTTTGCCCGATCTGGACCATCCATTCAACCAATATCCACAAGACCTGACCCGAATCCTGATCGACCCGATTTAGCTACATTGACCCAGTTTGGGTCAGTCGGTCCAGTCTTGACCCCGTGCACAAACCTGATATGGTCCGGTCCAATTCAATTCGATTCACCATTGACTGAAACGGTCTGGTCCAACCGGATTGATCCAGATCTAAACGGATCAACCATCATTGAACTAAGTGGTTTAAGTTGGTCTGTCCGGTTTGAACCTAAACGGTTCGGTCAGACCCAGAATCCAAACATGGTCAAATGGCTTGTCGCTTGTGTAAAAATAACATGCATGTAATGTGATTTGAACTTTCACCACTTATGTAAATAATAACTACAATAACCACCAAGCTACAACCAACTTATTTGTTAAGAAAGAGAGAGTTTGTTTTTTAAGTATATAAATATAAGATGAATGGATTTGGGCGGGTTGGATTGTGTTAAAGTGGGTTTGGGTTGAACCCAACCCATTTAATTTTATATAACTGGGTCATTAATGGGTTGACAGGTTAGATGGATTGACTTGAAACTCAACCCAACCCGCCCAATTGCCACCTGTATTCATATTGATTATATAGCTAAACTCTTAATTAATGGATGTAAATCATACCATTCACCAACCGTTCCTTCCATCATAGAAGAAGAAAGAACAAGTTACTCTTTGGCAATAAAATAAAAACTCATGTAGCTGGTTCTGGCATTCTGGCCAATCAATTGACAATAAGGCTATATTTGGTTTGAAGGAAAAGATAGAGAAAGGAAGGAAAAAACAGAAAAACCTATACAAGATTTATAAAGATTTTTCTACCTTTGCTTTCCTTTCCTTGCATTTTCTTACAAACCAAACATAGCCTAATTGAACCCAGCTCAACCCACAACCCAAAACGCAAACTGAGAGAGACCACCACATAATCGCACCATCATCAGTATTTTGCCCATTGCCACACTCAAGGCCCTAGCCTAAGGGATAACGCCTAAAGGGAGTTCCTACCAATTGATGGCTATGAGGTGGCTACTTCATGCAAATTATTACGCTGAGTTTGGTAGTGTTTATTTAAAAAAAAAAAAGTGTTTATTGAATAAATACTTAAAAATAAGTGCTTATTCTGCTTATTCTAATAAATTTGCATGAGTGTTTGATGAAAAAACACTTATGTCAAGTATGATCATTTTCAGAATGATATGGCAGGTCAAGATAGACCAAAAAGGAAATAAGCCCTTATTGAATAATCATTTAAAAATAAGTTCAATTTTTTAACTTATTTTTAAGTGTTTATTCTTACGAATAAACACTTATTTAGGCTTATTTCCCAAACTCAAATAAGTGCTTATATGTGTTGTCTCAACCCAAAACAAGTATTTATTTGAATAAGCACTTATTTTGGAACAGTCCCAAACTTTAAGTATGTCTGTCTATAATCAATTGTAATATGACATGTATTTAAAGCCCAGACTAAAGCCCAAAAATCTAGCCCAGGTTTTATTGGGCTGGGTCTTAGGCCTGGAACTTGGTTAAGCCCCTAATCCTAGATGCTAAGCCCCGCCCAAGCCTAATCCATGAATGTGATAACCCCTAACATCAGTGATGCGTTATTAGAGTTCAGATCTGCTCCTCACAAAGTATGTCTCATACTGACCTCACAACATATCCTGGCCACACATTGAGAATATATCCCGTAATTGCATTTATTATTTAAGGGGAGATGTTTCCAATACAAGGTGGGATGTGGCTGTGTGGTCAGTGTGAGACGCACTTTATTAGGAGCAGATCCCAATTCACATTATCATATTACCTACTAGCTGCTACACGTGTTTATTCATGTTTGGGTTACTTAGCCAGTTTTACATGTCCGTTTGGAGCATATCCAATTTGTAGTTGTGGAAATTATCAAAGTGGGAACTTGCGAGTCCGGCTTTGGTAAAGGCAAAACCTGTTCCAACAACCTTTACAGCCTTGTGTTGGGAATAACTTCGTACTTGTGTGATTTATTTCATGGGAGATATTCCTAATGCATGGTTGCAAGGGGCTGCTCGAACGGTGCAAGCACCGACTTGCCCTGACAGAATCTGAACTCAGAACCCACGGCCTTGAATAGGGTATTCATTATATGGTCTAGATTGCCAAATCACACGTGTTTATTGAGGTCAGTGTGAGACGCACTTTGTGAGGAGCAGATCCCAATTCACATTATCATATTACCTACTAGCTGCTACACGTGTTTATTCATGTCTGGCCAGTTTTACATGTCCGTTTGGAGCATATCCAATTTGTAGTTGTGGAAATTATCAAAGTGGGAACTTGCGAGTCCAGCTTCGGTAAAGGCAAAACCTGTTCCAACAACCTTTACAGCCTTGCGTTGGGAATAACTCCGTACTTGTGTGATTTATTTCATGGGAGATATTCCCAATGCATGGTTGCAAGGGATTGCTCGAACGGTGCAAGCACCGACTTGCCCTGACAGAATCTGAACTCAGAACCCACGACCTTGAATAGGGTATTCATTATATGGTCTAGATTGCCAAATCACACCAAAACCAAATTGAAATTAATTTGCCAATTTCTCAGGTTATATTTTTTAACTTTTTAGGAGAAATTATATATATTTATGTCTATATGTACATATTCATTTAATATTGCATTTCAATTTTATCAAAAAACTGCCATACCATCGTCAAATCAACATTTAGCTCATCATGGTGATCCATATGCATAGATACTTACAAAAGTTAGTCTTGATTTATATGCATATCTACCATTGGGGGAAACTTCATTTTAACACTTTTCCCAAGAGTTAGGCATTTATTCACTATTTTATTGATGTGATGCCTATTTGTCATAAATGATTAGCATTATTATTTTTCTTGGTTTTGAAGATAAATTAAATACAAATGTTTAATTAATAAATGAAAGCTCTACCAAATACATATGGTATTTGATTCTATTATTGTTTATTAGAAAACCTGCAAACTCATCACCAAATTAGCGTTTCTTTTGATGGAGCTTGAAAAGTTGTTTGGTTAAACCTTTTATCAAGAAAGTTTTTTTTCTTAGATTGTGCGGAAGCTATCCATTTGTTTTGACTTTGGCTTATGTAGTGCCGCCTAACCTAACGAGCCTTTTTAACTGTCATAAAGTAAAAATAAATATCATTAGAGAATAGTTTGACAGGTTGTAGCGGAGACGTCTTGGAATAGAATCCCGTCTGCACTGGGTTGGGGAATGGGTTATCCCGTTGTGTAAAATTGGGATCTGCTTTAGGGCTGTTTATGGGTCAGGTTGGGTCATTTTATTGGCATTTTTTTCAACCGATTCGACCTGGTCGGTTTACCTATAAATGAAATTGAAACTGACCCAATACAAAATAAAATCGATTTGATCGGTTTAAATCGGTTTGGGTCGGTTTTGTGAATGATTCTCTCGGTGTGAACGGTAAATGATTGATATTTTATATATCATAAATTTTATATATAATATGTATATTTCTGAAATAAAGCTGAAATATATATATTTCCACAAATATATATCTGAAATATATATTAAAATTGAAATATATCAGATATATATATATATATATATATATATATATATATATATATATATAATATCTGAAATATTATATATATATATAATATATCTAAGTCGGTTCGGTTTCGGTTTTCACATGAAAACCGAAACCGAATCGAACCATCGGTTTATGTTTTTTTGTAACCCAAAATCGACCGGTGCTGAAGAAAAACCGGCCAACTTGGGTTGGATCGGACCAAGTTGGTCAATTTGGGTCTTGTTATGAACAACCCTAATCTGCTTCTTAGAGAGTAGGGGTGTCAATGGCCGGTTTTGAGTTGGTTCTAATCCGATTCAAATATTATCAAATCATATTTGGATAATCTGTATAATTATTGGATTGGGTCAATTTAAAATAAATTGGTCTATATTTTTATTATTCTGAATTGGATCTAAACCAAATTTCAAATAACTCAATCACGAGTTCAAACCTTTGTCCAATTTGAAACCGATCAAAACTGGAGACAATATAAAATCACTTTTACGAAAGCACTTTTATAAAAAATAATTTTATGAAATGTACTTTTACGAGACTTTCACAAAAGTGATTTTATGAAAGCACATTTACGGAAGCAGTTTTATAAAAGCATTTTTACAAAAGTAATTTTACACGAAAGCACATTTACAAAATAACTTTTACAAAAGTGCTTATAAAAGCATTTTTGCGAAATCACTTTTATGAAAGTAGTTTTATAAAAGCACTTTTATGAAAGTAATTTTATAAAAGCACTTATAAAAGTACATTTATGAAATAATTTTTACAAAAGCACTTCTATGAAAGTACTTAAGTACTTTTGCATAAGCACTTATACGAAAGTACTTTTACAAAAGCACTTATATGAAAGTACTTTTATAAAAGCACTTATATGAAAGTACTTTTATGAAAGCACTTTTATAAAAGTGCTTTTTTAATGCCAAAAGTGTATATTTTTGTAATTTTCAGATTTCTTCATTTTAATATAATTTTATAATTTTTATATGTTCTATTTTTTATATATAATTTTTGATATTTCATTTGGTTTGGATTGGATCCAATCCAATCAATTTACATTTTAATGGATTGGATTAGATTTTATTTGTATTGATTTGGACCGAATTGGATCCAATCCATTTATAAATGGACTCACATTGGACTCGAGATGCTTAATGTTTTTTTTTTTTTTTTTTTTTKAGGATCAGATCCGGACTCCGTAAGAAAATAAAAATCTATACTATAATAGAATAGGTTGGTTCAATGGTTTGTTGAAAATTTATCAAACCACAATTTACCGGTTTGGTGTAGATATCTCTCCGTTCCCGCAACCTGAAAGAGTGAAAGCTGAAAACCTGAAGGGATTGTACCGGAGTCCCGACTCCCGAGTCCGTATCTGCTTGTAACAAACAGCGCGAGGCACGTCATTGTAAATTATAATGTTGCAGTATCTGGCACCACGGCGCTAGTCTTTGAATTTCATGGCGCTCTACTCTTTAAATTTCTACATTCCCCCTCTCGTCTCCCTTTCTCCAGTCTCCCTCACCAAAAGCAGATGTTCTGGCGTTCTTGTTAATCTACCAAATCTCTCTCTTCTCCTGCATACTCATTCTCCAAACTTGTCCTCATCTTGCTTTCGAAAACCCATCCCCGCAAAGATTTCCATAGAACTCCTCAGAGCAACAGCGCAGCAGAAATACGTGTATCCCGACCCAATTCCGGAATTTGCCGAAGCTGTGAGTCTCTCTCTCTCTCTCTCTCTCTCTCGATCTCTCTCGATTTCCCATTTCTTCGATTGTTCATTTAGTGATAATTTTCTTCCTTTTGAGTCCGTTTTTTTTTTTCCTTCTATATCTGGAGTCACCCCCAGCACACCAACCCAGACATGAAAGTGTATTTTAACGGGGTTATGGTTTCACAGGAAACTCAGAAGTTCAGGGATCAGCTTCTGAAGAAGCTACTCAAGGACAAGGCCACCTTTGGAGATGACCTTCACACGGTTGTAGATGTCTGTGTGGAGGTAATGCTTCCAGACTTTATCGAGTTATGTTCTTCACGGTTCCTGTTGTAAAGACGTTCTCCAGTTAAGAAAATAGTATTTTCCAAGAATAGCCGCTTTTTGCTTTGATTTTTCTGCTGCGAAGCTGGGAGGGTCTAACCATATGCTACCTAGGCTAACTCAATCTCTTATGCTTCCATAAACTTTGTTTTTTCTGTTGAACTTCTGCGTATCAAGTATAATGCATGATTTGCTTAATTTTATAAGTATAGTTGATTCTCTTGGTTTATTTTTTGAATTTCCCTGACCAATCTGGTTTATGTCCTGCCATCACCTCCCAAAATACTAATCCATGCATTTAAGTTGGGAATATCCCTTAGTAAACAGTTAATGGGTGTGAATTCACTTCGGAGAAAAACTGATTGGTTAGACTCTGAGCATATTAGCGGGCATATTAATCCCAATTCCCAAATTAAAAGATGGTGCTATTTTCTTTTTCTCTGTAGAATGTTATTTAGCCAGCTAAATTGATGGGAATCTATCTCCTCACAAAATACTAGTTAATGCATTTATATTGCGTTAAAGGGCCCTTATAAAAGGTAGGAAAGGGGCTTTATTGGCTTGGCAGAAAAGCTGATTTGTTAGTCTTGTCTTGGAACATCTTAACCATAGAATGCTTGCAAACCTAGACACTTGACCTAAAAGCTCCCTAGTAATGGCTATGTACCTTTCCTCCAGTGTGACTATCTGATATTATACATTTCAGAATAGGAATTTGGCATATCAAACAATCTCTTTGTGTGCATTGTTGTGCACATTATGGTATCCATAAGAGATACATAATCAAACTTTTGAAAGATTATGACACAAATCTTCTTTTTGTGATCTTGAATATGTCTTAAGAATATGTTAAAGACACTAAAAGAGGTTATTATTTATTCTGGCAGCAAAAGTTCTAACTTACTCTATGGGAATACAAAACTAAACTAGGGGAGCAAGAGTGTGAAGATTGATGCAAGCTGAGAGTTCTAAAAGTAGCTTCAGTTCTGCCTTTTTTTTCCTTTTATATCTTGAATATATCTTAAAAATATAAAGAAAGGCTGATCAAGATGGACTACTGCTAAAGAAATTATGATTTCCTCATGACTATCTAGATGGCAATTTCCTTTTGTTCTTACTTTTGAGAAGTTAGGAAGATCGTGCTGTATGGTGTCTTGTTATATATGGGTAATATTGCACTCTTGTAGAAAGTACAGATGAATTTTAATTTGTCACCGGAAAATCCATAGAATGGACTTGCAATATAACTGAAGGTTTAAACTAAAGCCCCATCAGAACAGAACTGCAATTTCTGCAACATCCGTAGTTGTTAGCAAGATACCTTGGGGCTACCTTGTGCATTGCCTAAGCGCTTTTATGGGAGATGGATTGAATTTGTATAAAATAAAGTTCAAAAGCTGACCCATAAGTTCAAAACATTGGGTCATTGACTGAGGATTTGGTGATTCAACAATCTTGATGTTGAATAAATCTGTTGTCTCTTTAGGATTTGGTCCTAGGAGTTTAGTTAGATTCTGTTTAAACCTTTTGTTTAAAATTTGCTTGATATAAGATTGAGAGCTCATACAAAACCAGCTGACATTGTTGTAGTTGATGTTACAATTGTGGGTGGATAGAGAAAATAAAGACTCAAATTGGACAAGCTAACGTTATAAACTTGAATTTTATGGAATTAGAGGACAGGCTAATTGATCCCTCTTCCTTATAGATGAAAACTGAAATAATTGCAATAAGGCCTTTGGTCTCATGCATAGTGTCATAGGTATGATCAGTCTTGCCTGAGTGTTTTAAAAGTGCAAGGGGCAATTTGTGCTTGAGGCGCACACCTTTTTGAAGCAAGGCGGAGAAATAAAAAAATGCTAAAAAAATAAAGAAATATCAGAAAATTCAAAAAAATATTAAACATAACATTAATAAAAATATATAAACTTAAAAATTTAAAATAAATGTTTTAAAAAACCTATTATCTAAAATTAGAATACATAAACATAACATGTAGAACATATTCAAGCGAAAATTTAAAAATAAATCAAACATATAAAGCACTTTCAAGCATGTAAAACCCACAATCTCTTTTTTTCCTCAATTGCATTACTTCAAGTAGCTAATGTGATGTAAAACATATTGCATTCCTGATTCTACGAGCCGCCTTTGTACCATGCCCCTCGAGGCAAGCCCAAACAAGTCCATGTTAGGGTCTTAAAATTTTAATTATCACATAAAAAATAATGATTTTATAACTTTAATTGCCTTTTAAGAAGACATTTTATTATAACTTTAATTCTCACGCCCCTCGCTTTGCTCGCTCTCTGCAACTCCGATAACCCCCAATTTGCTAATGTTGTTCATTCATTCATTCTAATAAAATATCTTCTTAAAAGGCAATTAAAGCTCAAGCCATGGAAACTTCTTTCAACTACATCTCCATGATAAAATTTAGACCTGTTTGTCTCCTTAAGCTCAAACTCATATGTCAAAGGATTTCCACTTGATCGGGAGGTACTACTTAGTTTTTTCTTTTTTAATATCTTTGTACTACTTGGTTTCTTTGCCTTTGAGTAGATGGGATATACCTGTTGATGTTGTAATGGAAGTATGGTAGGCTTGCATTGATTTCGTGCAAGTCAGTGGATCAAACGGAGTGCAAATTCCTTTGTAGATGCATTAGCCAAACAATGGAATTTGATTGATCAATTATATGAAAAACACACATGCACACATATTTTGGAAAATGGTTTTTCTCTTACTAAAACCAATTTTCAACTTGTCCCAAATTGGAAAATTACTAAAATTGTTTTGAGTTTTTAAATTGGAGCTTATTTACACTCCTTGGAAATATAAGAGGAGAGTATGGAGACTTGCTACCATGCAACGCGCATGCACTCATGTGAGCGCGTGTGTGCGGTGTAATGAGGTGCACTTTGCTCGCCGTTGAAATATCAACGGTTATGATTTGATCGGGTGTGATCAAGGGGCACTATTCAAAGTTAACAGTCATTAACTGTTAACTACCTTTTTAATAGTCACAAGGTTTGAAATTGTGACTGTTCAAGGTGCCTTTTCTGAACCAACATCTTCCTCTGCTCCATGACTCTTTAGAAATTATTTAAGGAGCGTGAATCAAACAATTGAACATAAATTTTTCGAAATCACTCTTGTCTCTCTTAGTTTGATCTGCTATTGTCTCACAAAAGGTTTCTTCAGAGACTCTTCAACTTTGCTGGTTGCAGATTCTCGCCCAAGGTTCTGTTGTATCCTGGGAACGGATTTTCCTGTAACCCAAAAGCAAACTCAGTGGAACTGAGTGGGGGCAAATAACGTTCTAAAGACAGTGTCTTCAGACACGCCTTAGAGCTTCTCCCCCAAGTTTTAGTGACCCCAATTTTCCAACAATTTGTAATTGCTTTTTCTATTATTATGCTTATCCTTGGGAAGGGTTAAGAGAGTTTACCCCTTCCCTAGGAGGCTGTAATTGTTGTACTTTATTTCATTAATAAAATTTCTGTTACTGATAAAAAAGTCATAGTTGCATAATCTGAATATATTTATTATCAAGACACTTCCCATTATCACTAATGTTGTCCTATAATATTCCACAACAAAATATGTTTTTCTTGAGAATTTTATGGGTCACATTCATGGAATGCCATATGTCTTGTACATTTACAAAGTGTCAAAAGAACAGAGTTGTATTCATTGTTTTTTTTTTTTAATTTGTAATTTACTATCAAGACACTTCCCATTGCTTTTTTAGTTTTCTTCATAAATCCATTGTTAATTATTACAGCTGTTTTCTCATACCTCTTATTGCCATTCCAAAAGACATTGACATTGATATAATAAGAACAATGAAGGTAATAAAGGGACTTAGCTTGTTTTCTGAGAGGTAGTTGCTTATTGTACCTTCCTTTAAGCTAGAATTTGGAAAAATATGTTCCCAAAAGGAGTTACAAGGGCATTAGGCAACCTTCAATATGTGTACCCTCATGCAAACCTCATCAATTAATGGGTCAATTTTGAATCTTCGGTGCTTCATTCTCATGCCAATTACATTGTTAAAAGTGTTGGTGCAACTGAGTGGGGTGGTAAAAAATGGATGCAGCTTGATGGGGTGGGACAAGGACACATGAAAGTCAACAAATTGATAGTCTTTTGATCGGACAGGTTTTTGACATGACATAAAGTTGATGTTTTAAAATCCTATTGGTGTGGTAAGTAGTCCAATCCATTGGATTGATAGGATCCTAGGTCAACTTATGTACGTCATTGTCCACTGCTTAAAATTAGTCTAAAAAGGTAAGATCCAGTTAAGCATTTTAAAAAGGCTTTCACCGACCACTCATTTGGTGAATTTCAATGAAGTGTATCAAGTGGCATCTTGAGATAGAGACCCAGTCAAGATTATTGGAATAAACTGAACCAAGTGACTAGGGGTGGATTTGAGCTGAGACGAGCCGAGCCGAGCCGAATAGTAGCTATTCGAGCTCGGCTCGCCAAGGTAGTACAAGGCTCAAGCTCGAGCTTGAGCTCGAGCTCGGTTCGAGCTAGGACCTTGAGCTCGAGCTCAGCTCGAGTCAAAAGCTCGTAAGCTCGTGCTTGACTTGAGAAAAGTGTTTTATAAAAATAAAAAAATTACATATAAAAATATTTTTTTATTTGATATTTCAAAAATTAAGAATTATAATAATTAGTTATTATTATATATAAAAATAAATCACGAGTTGAGCTTTATTAGGCTTGAGCTCGGCTCAAAGCTCGATTGAAACCGAGCCAAGCCAAGCTCGAGTATCTCATGAAGAGCTCGGTTCGTGGCCACCCCTACAAGTGACATATGGTGAGTGGCTGGAACCTCAGGTGTATGCTTTCATAGCTCTGCCACATGGAGTTGTAGACTGCATCCATCTTTGCACATAGACTATACCTTGTAATACTCCAAATCGGACTTATTAGTAACTGAAAAT